AAAACATTTGAATTGAACGATTCCTTAATGCAGTTCTTGTTTTTAAAAATCATTGAGATTGTCGAATGACCCACACCAAATTCCTTTGCGAGACATGAGTCAGATTCTCCATTTTCTAATCTGCATATTATTGCACCTTTCTCCTCAATTGTAAATGCTTTACGTCGTTGAGATGACATTTTTTTCACAGTAGCAAACGAAAAACAATGCCTCCAACCCTCAATTACTCACTGAGAATCAAAACAAAAAAAAGCCACGTGCCGAACGTCGTCGGGAATCAACGAACAATACCGAAGGTGTAAAGAATCATGTCGGTCATTATAACCGGACATAATTTATTAAAAATGGGTCATAATAAGCGACATGTCACTGTAAGGGAAGTCATTATATCCGACTTTGTTATAAAGTATTTTATATGAAAACCAAATTTCGTAGTGCAAATACGTCATAATAACCGGCTGGTCAATATAGGCGGAGTCATAATAAACGGATTCTACTGTACAATTTATTTCACAATTTTCAACAATATGATATTTTGAAAATAAAATTACATACACCAAAACGTGATGTTATAAAATCCATGTTGTCTGCACATAATGTAGAAAGTAACTTACTACAAACCATCATAAAAAATTATAAGGTTGAAATTAACATATTATTTTATAAGTATTTTATTACATTTGTCACTGCACCAATTGCAAAATCTACCTTAAAGCACATTCTTGAGCCCTACGTTTTGTGCTACATAAAAGCAATTACGATAAAACACTCAAAAATACGAAATAACAAGAAAGAAGCACATGCACAATTCGGCGGACATATTTCTTAAATAACTTTTCACTTTTCAATTTGATCCAGTGTTGCCTAGTGAAACAAATTTTAAGCTTCTATTTTTTTACTATTACTCCTTATAATATAAACCTCACGTATGAAGCAAATATAAACTAACTTGAATTTAGAACTATGAAGGGATTTTTTATTATTTATTATTTTGGGAGAAAAAATTAATTAATTTAGTAACACCAATACGTCTTTTCTTAACCGCTGCATTGGATGACGTTTTTAAGCTCCTGGACTGGAAAGGATATGGTATTAACATCAATGGCGAGTACATCACTCACCTTCGATTTGCCGACGATAGTATGGTCTTTATGGCAGAATCGCTGGAGGACCTAAGCACTATGCTCAGTAACCTCAATAATGTCTCCCAACGGATAGGTCTTAAGATGAACATGGACAAAACGAAGATCATGTATAACGTCCATGTCACACCTATGCCGGTAGTTGTTTGGAAGCACTAAGCTCGAAGTTGTTGATGAGTATGTTTACTTGGGACAAATAGTCTCACTAGGTAAGTCCAACTTCAGCCGAGAGGTCACTCGACTGATTCAACTCGGCTGGGCAGCGTTCGGGAAATTACAACATGTCTTCTCGTCAGGTATACCTCAAAACCTGAAAACGAGACTGTACAACTAGTGCGTTTTGCCAGTGATGACCTACGGAACTGAGACGTGGTCCTTCAGTGCTGACCGTATGAGGACGCTCAAAGTCACTCAGCGAGTCATGGAGAGGGCTATGCTCGGGGTTTCTCTACGTGATAAACTTAGAAATGAGGATATCTGCAGTAGAACCAGAGTGAACGACATAGCCCAACGGACTAGTAAGCTGAAGTGGCAATGTGCCGACCATATATCTCGAAGAACCGACAACTGATGGGGGGAAAAGGTTCTCGAGTCGCAGCCTCGTACCGGTAAGCAAAGTGTAGCGCAAGCCCCCTCTAGATGTAGTGACGACCTGGTAAGACATGCAGGAAGTCGATGTATGCAGGCGGCTCAGGACCGTACATTGCATACCTTGTCAACAGTAGACTTGTGATGATGATGATATTTTTTAATTTAGTTAATAAATACCATAAGATATAACAATAACTTGCTTAATAGAATATGATTTCCTTTTTTGTATTTCCTTTATACCTATCATTATAATTATTATTAATAATGCTTAATTTTTTGTGGCGGTGTGTGGTGACACTATCTTGATTGATTTGCATAAAGTAGCTAAAAATGCAAGATGCCAGAGCACCTATAAATTAAAAAGTATTAAGTGTTTCATAAAGCAATTTCTAGATAGCGGTAGTTTAAACATCAATGAAATTTCTTAGAAGATACAATAGCATCCCCACTTTAAAAAAGTAAACTAAAGTTAAAGCCTATATACGTCCCACTGCTGGGCACAGGCCTCCCCTCATTTCTGAGAGGATTTTAGGGCAAGGAAGTGTCCGCCGCGCAGCCCCAATGCGTGTTGGAGAACTTCATATGTCTTCGAAATATTTTTTCTTATTCTTCAGACATGCAGGTTTCCTCACGAAGTTTTTCTTCACCGCCGAGCACGTGGTAAATCAGCACTTAAAATTGCAATTAACAATTTCATTGGTGCCGGCGGGGATCGATCCCAGGTTACTCGCGTTCTGTTATATTTACAGCGAGTGGTAATCATCTGAGCTATCCCAACTTACCATTAGGTAATATTGTAGGTAAGTGCTGTATTAGAATAGTAAAAAAATACTGTTACGAAAAAAAGACTAAAAGTAAAAGTACCTTCAACAGTAGTAGGGAATTAAATTCTAAGTATGAAAACATATCCAAAACCTGCTTCTTCGTTGAATATAGTTTTACTCAATACTTAATACTAGCAAGCGGACGGCGTCTTCATTTACATAGCGTTAAGTGAAATTTATATGTTGTTTATTATAAAACGTTTATGGTTGACTAGTGACCAGCCTCAATTTCACGTAGGAAGGATCGAATTATGGCGTTGTTTAGATTTTAGTTAATCAATTACCACTTCTTTTATCAACTTTTGTTTTATCCCAAAATAAATCTTAGTTTTTTTACATAAACTATAGCTTAAATTATTCCTGCCATTATACCTTCTATATATTATCTAATCGTAAACTTTTGTTACAACTGATTTAGCCATTGTGAAGGTTATCCCGTACAAATAGACAGACAAAATTTTTAAAAACTAGTTTATAATATCTTAATTCTATGTAAAAAAAACTCCCTTAATTAGTTTCTAATGTTAATGTTATTGTCAAACACTTTTATTTTATGTATATATAAACACCGTTATCCTTGACAACAGTAGTTTGGTTTCATTTATAGAACGTAACATACTATCAATTTAATTTCTAACTTATTCTACATTTTTTTTTATAGAAGAACGGGCAAACGAGCATGCGGCTCACCTGATGTTAAGTGACTACCGCCGCCCATGATCAACCGCAACACCAGGAGAATTGCGGGTGCGTTGCCGGCCCTTTAGAAAGGAGTAAGCTCTTTTCTTGAAGGTCCCCAGGTCGTATCGGTCCGGAAAAATCGCCGGTGGTAAACTATTCCACAGAGAGGTTGTACGTGGAAGAAAACTCCTTGTGAAACGTACAGTGGTGGACCGCCAAGCATCCAGATGGTGTGGATGGTATCGGGACGTTTGACGAAAACTACATAATTGTTTTTACCTGTAATGTTAATTAAGGGAGTTTTTTGTCCAATGAGTGTCAACGTTTCTACAATGTCATAAAATAATTATTAAATCGGTTCTATGTTTTTGTAGGAATATCATTAACAACTACATTATGAAGCATTGTACTATTGTCGATAGATGGCAGTTGCCTGCATATTTGGTATTGACAAACGTAGTGTAAGAGCTACAACAGGGACTAAAACCTACGTTTCCATACTCCAATAGCTCTGTAATACAAACAATTTGTTTATTAAACACCAGTTTTCCCATAACACATTTTATCTAATAATACTGTTTTATTTAACATACCCTGCAATGGTATTTCTAGTTTTAATGTGTGCTTAATTGTACCCATGTTCAGCTTCAGAAACTGGATTCAAAACAGGTGTTAATAAATATGGCCTGTTTGGATAGGCACTATCTCCAAGTAACCAGCGATTTCCAAATTGCCCTCCATCACATACAGCTGTTATAAAAATAAAGAATATTAGGCTCTGACAGTAAATATTCAAAATTCTTACAATTTGAATACATATTATTTACACCTACCTCTCAAAATAGATTTATTAAATATAGTTTTAGTACCCCCCCACCCCCTAATTCAGGCGACCGAATTGTAAACCTTACCCGGGTCTCGTACTATTCTGCCTGCTGTAGATTTTGACACTCCAACAAAATCTGCTACGGATATCAACATTGTGCCTAGTGCATAAAACCGTAGGGTCAACAAAAGTTGATGCAATGGTGATACTTCATAATTTCTGCAAAGGACTACATAAAATGAAGTATATTATATAGATTGTAAAAAAATATCTAATTTGCTATAGACCATCTTTGCTTTACCTCGTGGATGTTATTCGTAATAATGAGGTTATTTCTAACAATAAAGAATTGAACGCATATTTGTTCAATCGAAACCTAAAGGTAAAATCACCGTCATCGAGGCTTTGCATAAAACTCACTCTTCTAATTATATTTGGAGGGCGGCGTAGGGTTTCATCTTCATCACTGGAGTCAGATAACTGAGCTAGCATTTCCAAATCACCGTCACTGTCACTAGATAGTAATGTTAAATCTATTTTCGCGCAAATAAAATAGAACAAAATACATAATCGGTTGGAACTCGAAGGATTAATCCTTGGCTTTTCTTGGATTGCGAATTTTGATTGTTTACACCGATCAAACTAAACGTCAAAATTGACAGGTTATTGATACACATAAATTGTCATTCGCCCACAGAGGTCTATCTTTTTTTGTAGTCCGACCCCTCGAGGATAGTTTGCTTCTACAGATTGTAATTTTAACCCCTGGATAGGTTGTTGGTACTGTCTAACCATAAAATGGATTAAATTATCAATCTTGGATAGTAAATGAAAATATGATTTCTTTCGATCTTATCTATTTTTGTAATGGCGAGGACTAAGGTGAAATGCCTCGTTTCCAGTTAAAACTGCCTCCAGTTCTCTACACTCATCACACAAAACACAGCTGAATTTTGTTGCTTTGGGTAGTGCATATATTTGGTATAAGGAACAATGATAAAGTGAATATGTTAAAAGTTGTTAACGATGTATAGTAGAAGACTAAAATATAATATTATATTTGACACCAAATACGATATTTTTTATTAAAATCAGCGGTCATGTAAGTATTCTACATACTAGAGTAAACAAACCAACACAATGGCGGATAGCCAACAATAGCTCTTTACATAATTTAGGCATTTGTATGCCCATTTTGCACGTAGGCACCCCCATTTAAGTGCAAACTTTGAAGGAAAGTGTACATATACCCATGGCTTTCCTGCATTGCTGATGTGGGCTTAATTGCAAAAAATAAAGTTTAGAAATATATATGATGTTTAGGATCAAATGGAAACAGAAACGGAAATTTTTTTAATATAAATTATAAATAATACTTATTGAAGGTTGCTTTTTACCACAAGTTCGGAAAAAAAAACTTCTGCCCTGGGAAAAATCGGTAAGAAACCCAGCGGGACATTAAAAAAATAATTATATTACATTTAACGACACAAAACCACTTATAAATAGCTTGGTAGCGATCACCTTTCCCAGGGATTATAATCATTCATAAATTCCTTAATATTGTAATACCCTTTTCAATCAAACTTAGTAACATAAATTTTTTGAACTTTGTGCAGCCCAAATTTTATATATTTTCTGGGATTTTGTTGTAAAAGCATATTGTCCAAAGAATGAATTACTGACTCGGTGGAGTCGAGTAAAGTGTACTACTAGCTTGTATCTGTTTCTAGTATTTACAGAATGAATATCACTTAATTTTGTAAAACTACATTTATTTTTGTGGTTACATTTACATAAATTTATTATGAGGCCAAAGTTAATATATTCACTTCCTTAAATTTTTGCTTTTGAAGATGTAGATATCTATAGCCCACAAGATCCATTACTACCATGTGGGCTGTATTCATGTTTTTACCCTAATTCTAAGAAAAGAAAAGAAAGGAGAAAGATTATTTTATGCCCAAATGTAAATCCTTGCCTGACACTATCTCTGACTAAAAACTGGATTGATCGATGGCCCGCGTGTATAGCATGCAGTTCTGTTTTGTTACATTGATGAATATCACGTTTAATTAATAAAAGCAGTCAATTAAATAAAGATACTTGTTTTTAATTGACATACTACTTACATTACACATATGTATAGATTCATTGCTTATTCTGCAATTTTAAATGCTTCTAAAAGCTATGAAAGCTTATGGTTTTCCTTTAATAAGTAAGCCTTTAAAAATCCTTTAATAAGTATAAGGACAAAGAAATGGTAAATTGTTTATCAGTGCGTTCGGTGATTGGTTAATATTCTGATGCGACTTCACTTGAGTTCACTGACAGATAAATAAATTTCAAAAGACCAACCGACCCGACGGAAGAGATATCAGGCAAAGGATAAACGGCTTTTGCTGCTCTCCGAGGCATGAGCGAAACACCACCAACTTCACGACACTGGGCTGCTACAGAGAATTTCTTGACAGAAAAACTCAATAGGATACTTTTTAGCTCGATCCAAGATTTGAGCCTGCAGCCTCATAATTAGGAGTCACGTTTACGAACACTGGGGCAAGCGGCAACACATAAGATTATTATTATATTCTTATTTTTTCATAATAAGTAAAATCAATAAATCAAAACTAATAAGTTAATAATAACAAATAATAATGATGATGATACTCGTCAATCACTAATAATTAAAAATCCATTATTCCATTTAAAATAAAGAGTCATAAAATTACTGTCTAACAATTTTAAAGAATAAAAAGGAAATTTTAAAATAAAATATAAACAAATATCACGATCTGCGTAGGGAATCTAATTTACGATAAAAATTAAGTTCGCCCAAGATTTCGCTCAAGAGAAATATGTTAAATAGGAAGCGCAAATATGTCTCTTTATTTTTTATATATATAGTATGTTATCTATTTTCTTCCTATTTTTTGGGGAAACAGAAACTCTAAGTACCTTTATTGATTATGAATATAAGATTTCTAGATTCTACCAACACGCATTGAGCCATCGCGGCGGACACTTCTTTGCCGTAAAACTTTTTCGGAAAATAGACATTTGGGGCGCCACTGAGGTGTTTATAGCCTGTACCTTTACTTTAATTTTTACCTTAGAGTAACTTGGTTCTTGTCACCGGTCAGCGAGTCCCACGCCACAAAAGAGAAAATTTTGACTCTCGATTACAGATGCAACACGCCGCCGACCATCCCGCAGTATGAGTGCTCTATGCCTGATGTTCGTTTCACACAGTGCTCGACACGCGAAGCACTTCTCCCTGGAAATCCAAGAGCTGTGGAGGACAAGTCCAGTAGGCCTGACAGAATGTACCCAATTGTGCTCAGGACGTGTGTCTAGAGTTGGCACCGGTTCTAACGCGTCTTTTCCGGTACCCTAATATCCCAAGCATGGTCCCAAATTCATGGAAAGAAGAAAAGAGATATTTATTTAGTCATTCCTTAACATATTAGCAGTAAATACCCAAAATAAACATTATGTATAGGCAATCTTATAACTAGACTTAATTATGTATACACTTACAAAGAAAAATAAATAGTTTTGACATTACTGACAAAAATTAAAAATAAATATAAAAAAGCGAAGAGCTAACGAAAAAAAATAATTTTATGGGAAAAGGTCTAAATAGGACTGCCACTCAGGAAACGCTGAGATTTATCATCCTAGCCCTGATTTTCAGTGGCAATCTTAAGTACATTACATACATACAGACACACACACACACACACACACACACACATATATATATATATATATATATATATACATATATATATATTTTATATATATATAAGCATTGCACATGTACACATACACACACGGGCACATATAATATATAGTTAATTGTTTATATTTATTCGTTCGATTCACTGGCGCTGCGTAGGTATGTTGCATCCTTTTGCGTTTTTTATCGTATCTACCATTGGGAGTGTTCTGAAGAATCGTTCGGATTAGTTCCAGCCGCTAAATTTCACGAACGCAAATCACGTCAAAATTTCCATTACCATCCTCACCATCTGAATGCTTGGCGGTCCACTACTGTAGGTTTTACTAGGAGTTTTCTTCCTCGTACAACTTCTCTGTGGAATTGTTTCTCACCGACGACTTTTCCGGACTGATGCGACTTAGGGACTTTCAAGAAAAGAGCTTACTTCTTTCTAAAAGGCCGGCAACGCATCTGCAAATCCCCTAGTGTTGCGGTTGTTCATGTGCGGCGGTAGTCACTAACCATCAGGTGCGCCGCATGCTCGTTTGCCCCCACTTCTATAAAAAAAATTGGTTGACCCTGCAGGCCATCCCTAGAACTTACCGCTAATTTCAAATACAAAACGCTCCAAATTTCACCAAATTATGTTGCGAAATCTCGAGATTATGTCAAAAAAAGTTTTTTTCGAATTCTTTCTCTTTCGATATCTCACGAAAAATTTTCAATTTTTTAAGCATTATTCAATTTCATTAAATATTAGTTTAAGTGGTACAAGAATTTGTACTTAATATAAATATGTGAAAGTATACGATAAAGAGAAAATCAACTTAAATTACTACAAACTAAAATAATTTTCTTGTTTCATTAAAGAACTAGTTATTAAAGAAATGGAATAAAACAAAAATATTTTTAAATTTGTATTTATTAATTCAGATTTTTAGTTTCTCAAAATATTACACATTTATTTATTTTAACTAAAAATAAATGTACATCTTTATTATCACTGAAATAATAGTATTACAAATAATAAGAGTACATAATGTGTACTTTTGTGTCGGTTCGAAGATGCACGGCTAATTCTTAGTGCAGGTATATAAAAATAATGCAGTTTCAATTTTTTAGCTGTAAAATATTTGTGATTACGTTTAAATTATATAATTATTTGTGATTAAAGTTTTGGTTTTTCAGTTTTGGGGTTTTAGGTTTTATTCTTTCTGGTAATTTATGGTACAGGTATATAACAATAATAATACCAGCGAATACAAATTGTAAGCAAGAAAATAAGCAGGTATACATATGTGTAGAGCAGACGTATTCTACACTAGTTATTTTTGTAAAAACGTACCAAACAATTTATAAAATATTAATGTTAGATGGATACAATACGTGTTGAATACACTCGTCTTCTTCCTTGGAAGCCGCAACTAATCGCGTGACTGCTTTTCAGATACTCGAGCCCTCAATAGTAACAGAGCGTAACGTTATCAAAGCTCCTTTTTTATAACGTTAACGTTAACGTTTCCATCGCTCCTTTACCAGGGACTCGATTTCCTTGATGTTTGTCACCGCATCTTATAGGTTTCGACTGCAGGGTATAACCGGACCCATGCTCTGCGACAAGTAGCTGCGGAAAGGAGCTGCACATTGTAAGTCTTCGTCGTCCTGTGAGAATATGAATAATAAGAAAAGTTATTACACGCTCAATATAGAGATTTCTAACATAAAAATCTGTTCGCATCTTTATCAAATTAATATTACGATCAGAAAATATGTTTACTGATCAGGTTGACGTAATAAAATGATCTATATAGCCTATTACAAAGAGCACCACCCTCCCGTCAACAATTGCATGCCCTAACAAATTAAAAAAAAATACTTTAAGAGTATAAGTCATTTATTTATTATTACTTACATAAGTACGTTAGGCGTTTCCTTCATGTATGTTACTTAAGTTACTTAAGAAATTTCGAGAATAAACGTAGTGTTTAAAAATAAGTTAAAATGAAACGTGATAATTTATGTAAAATTAATTTTCAATTTTTTATTTCAAAATACAACACTTTTAAAACAATTAAAGTTTTAAATTTGGACGGGTATTATAACCAGTTTTCATAAATATGTTATAATGTGCACAGACATTTTTCATTTACCTTTTTAATTAATGTTTTGGACTCATGCTTAAAGCTAACCGTGACCGTGAACTCCTTACACACTTCAGTATAATATGTTGTTAATAACAATAAAGTATCAAATTACAACCATCGCAGTAATAAAATTAACATAAAATGATAAAGTAATAAATCAAAGAAAAATTATTTAGTTATAGTGTGTTGGAAGCAGACGAGGGAACGAGTGTAAGCTTCACTCGTCTGCTTCCAACTGAGCTAAAACTGCAACGCCGACAGATCGCATATTCAACTAGGTCACGATAACACATGCACAATTGATTTTAATATTTTGTTTTAAATATGATCACTTTTTTATTTGTGTCATAAAACGAAGTTCCACTAATTCTTTGGAGATTTTATTATGATTTATCGTTTTGAGATTTGCTCTTTTTGAAGAAAAAAATACCAATATAATTTTGTAGAAAGTGTACAATATAACTATAAACAGATAAGTATCGTTGAATTTTCCTATAATATAGTGCATACTCTGATTACAAGCCTATAAAAGCTGGGGCTCCACCGGGCTGCACGCTTTCACCAACGCTATTTCTTCTGCATATCAATGATATGTTGCAAACCGCTACGCTACATTGCTATGCAGACGCCAGCATTGGTGATGCCTTAAACACCGGCCGTGCAAATATTTCTCAGTAAAATGTCGCCGAATACCGGGACAAACTTGTGTCTGAAGTCGAGTCTTTGCTGTATAAAGTCTCGGATTGGAGGCGAATAAATCCAGTCTAGTTCAATCCCCAGAAGACTCAAGTTCGCGCGATTACCGCTAAATAAACCCCTTTGTCGTATCGCCTATGTTTTAAGTCTCACTCCCCTTGCTGCCCCACCTAGCATCGGAATCGTCGGCGTCGACATATCGAATAATGTGCAGTTTTGTGCTCACTTGGAGAGTAAGGCCTAAAGGAAGGAGGAAGTTCATTTGTCACCCTTGACTCTAAAAAGCTTGGCCTGCTCAGCAGAGCGAGACAGTATTTCATGCTGGCATATCGCTTGAAACTTTACAAAACGAAGTTCGGCCTCACATGGAATACTGTTCTCATCTCTGTGCCGGCTCCTTCCACTTGACCGCATCCAGATCAGAGCGATTCAAATCATTGAAGACCGAGTTCTTTCTGATTGGCTCGATTCACTGGCATTGCGTAGGTATATTGCATCTCTTTGCATTTTCTATCGCACTTACCACGGGGAGTGCTCTGAGGAATTGTTCGGATTAATCCCAGCCGCTGAACACACATCGCGTCAAAATTCAAGATACCATCCTCACCATCTGGATGCTTGGTAGTCCACCATTATGTTACCGTTATACTGGGAGCTTTCTTCCCGCCGCCGGTTGTAAACAATTCCACAGAGAAGTCTCTGTGGAATTGTTTACCACCGGCGATTTTTCCGGACCAATACGACTTACCTGACCTGACCTGACCTAACCTGACATTACCTTTACTCTCATGTGCGGCGGTAGCCAGTTACCATCAGGTGAGCCGCATGCTCGTCTGCCCCTCTTCTATAAAAGAAAATCTGCTTTTACCAATACACATTAATATTGTTGGGCGCCTAAGTTGACGTCAGGTACCTGGCACTACCGCCATCTAGTGTCGGGGACCAGAGCGAGGAGGGCTTCCTAGAAAATGCCAATCTTGAACTTTCGACCAACAGGGCCATCTAGTATCGAACAGAAGAATTAAGCTTTCTAGAAGCCCCACACTCGAAATTTCTGCGCCTGGTCGATCGGGGCCCGTATTCGCTGGAATATTCTGGATGTTTCGGTGGAAGAGCCCTATTTAAAGCCGTTAAATGCCGCGATCGGGGCAGTATTGAATTTGGTGACACAAGCGAAACTTCGGAACGAAATAAAGTAAATTAAAGTGATCAGTGCGATTAATTATTAGTGTGATTTGAGTTTTAATTGGTGTTCAGTAATAAAAGTGTAAATTTTGGTAATTCAATCGGCAGTTTTTATTGTCACGAACCTTAAGCTTGTAAAAATATTATTATTTTGGAAAATACATAACATATAAATTTCAGTTCCAAACAAGTACATCTGAGTTAATCAGTGTCCAGGATTTTCGTTTATTGGACGGTGGATCTGGTGTATCATTGAGATCCGATTCGCAATTGCTTTTAAAGAGATTGCTTTCTTCTTCCAGTGAAATTGCTTTCTTCTTGGATTTTGGCTGACGGGGCTTCAAGTCTTTTTTCACTTGACTTGACGCGCTCTTCTTGATCGAGTTTCAATGAGCACCGACCTCTTCGTCCGGGTAGAAAAGATTGGTCGACCTGTAGATATACAGTTTTATTAACATAAATATACCTCAATAATATATTAATAAACTAATAAATCATAGAGGCGTAACGCAGTAAAACTGAGATACGAGACATTTTATCATAAAAATAAGCTAATATAATAATGGTTAACCAAGTTCTTATTAACCTGGCTGGGAATCGAACCTTAATAAAATCGTCGATCAAAAACATTAAAACAAGATAAAAAAATCGTAGCAAAAATTTGGAAAAAGACATACATACTTGTTAATCCGGCTGCCACTGTCACAAAAAATCACTAATAATTTATTTACACTGATCACCACGAGATTTAAAGTAATACAATAAAACGTGGAGGACTGACTAGACTAATTTACACACCCAAATTACAAAGATTTGATCATGCTATAGAAATAAGCTTGTATTGATGTTGCTTATATTGATTTTTATTGATATTGAATGCAAATTCCTTGGAAAATCAAATAACATTGAACTCCAAGCAATATAATATTTTCAGAAGTCATCACAATATGAATTTATGCTTAAAACTTATGATTTTCATTATAAAATGAATTAAGATCGTGTTATCTAACTTTTTCATTCTTTAATTATATAAGGATAGCAAGCACCATGCACGTATGTTCTCTAGTTGTAATTAGGGCTTGGGAAACCCGAATCAACTTTAGACATAATAGCAAGGGAAAACTACCAATATACCAATCAACCTACCAATCATATAACCAACCAAGTACCAAATAATAAATATCACATCAACCTAAGGCGTTGGTGAGATTCGCAACAAAGTATCACATGCCACTGTACCACTGTATCAAGGTAAAGGCATCTCCCTTATTGCGCGAATGTTTTGCCTTCTTTATGCGATTCACAATCAATAATAGTAACTGTCGTGTATTAGCTGTCCGTCTAATCAGGTGTAGCATCGCCCAGTAAACAATATCATAGGATTCTGCAGTTTGAGCCATCATATCAAGTAATTAATAGTTATTGTTCAAATATATTTTATAATACTGCTTGCAGCTTAATACTGATGTGTTTGGTATGGTGAGTGTAGAGATCCGGAGACCCTTTTCATTGCAGGCATTTCCATCTTAATCCTCAGGGATGACAACGCATCTGCGTTTTGATTGTTAATCGAGGTATGTCTATGGGCCAAAGCATCCACTTATCATCAGGCGGACTATGTTCATTTGTCACCCTTATTTTATAAAAAATTCAATTATGAAATTTTAATTAAGTACCTAACTTGGTGTCTAATAATATAGGTATTGCCTATCCATGGATTATGGTACCTATGTATTATCTACCTACTTATTAATAAATTGAACCGACTGATTGGTATTTTAATGGCATTCAGGGCTATAAATTTGGGTTGATCTGTCTGTCAGATTAAAGAGTAGAGAATCGCTCAGTAAACAATATTATAGCATTCTGCAGTTCGAGCCGTCATATCGGGTAATGGGTAGGTAGAATTGGGGACTTCTGCATCACTTCACTTCGCTGCGCTGTTGGTCTACCCCACTGTAGCAGTTTATGGTATTAAAAATTATAATTTCCTAAATGTTTTTCGCATGTGCTTGTAGCACTAATTGAACGAGGTGATAATCCACTTGGATGTCAATTTTTTTAGTACGCTACTTAAGATGACAAAGTAGCTGGTTATTACATGAAAAAAATATTTTCCCATTTTTTTCAAATATCGACAGCATTAAATAAGCACTGAGTTGTGTTCCTATATCACTAGGTAATAACTTACCTGGATGTTAATTTTTTATCACGTACTTTGCAGAACCTGCTAAGGTTTACGGTAAAAAATTAGCGCTTTTTCGCATGTGCACTAATTGAGCACTTATTTATTATTTTGTATCACTAGGTGATTAACCATCTGGATGTTAATTTTGGATCACATACTTTGCTGAACCTGTCAAAGTAGCAGTTTTCGGTATGTGGAAAAAAACAATGTTTTAGCGCTTGTTTTTCGCATGTGCTTGCAGAATTAATTGACCACTAATATATTATCATCTTATTCCATATATATATCAGAGTGGATATATATCAGAATGGGTTATAACCTTAGTAATAACCCACTCTGATATAAATTTTTTCATTACATTCTCTGCTAAAGACGTCAAAGTAGCAGTTTATGATAATAAAATATTTTTTTCGTACATCGACGGCACTAAATGAGCACCGAATTATTGACATCTCTTTTTGTGGTGCTATATTAAGCGGTTATCATGTTAGGAGGTAGAGCACTTTTATTTTATTTTTATTTCAATATTCCTTATTGCACACCATACAAAAATTACAAATTATATAAACAAAAGACGTATACAATGGACGGTCTTATTGCTGATAGCAATTTATTCCAGACAACCAATGAGTGGCCAGGACAACACAAAGATGACAGGGGTGTGGCCAATTGGTGTGATAAAAAAGAATACAAATTTAATATATATAATAAACATACATATACTTCAAACATATATACATACAAAAAATAAAATAAATGCAATCGATTAAAAAAATCAATTAAATGCAATCAATTAACTGCATATATATGTATAATATTTAATGTCTTTAAATTCTTTACTAGTTTTTACTTTTAATTAAACTAGCAGTTTTCAAATTTCGGATCAAATTATTTTGACACGAAATTTAGTTTTGCAGCACTAAATGATCACTAAATTTTAAGCAAACGTTTTAATGATTTTGCACAATTTACCATTCTAGCTTAATTACACGTAAACCC